ATACTAAGGTTAGGTACACTTAATGTTTTGTAAATAGAGTTAGTCCAACAAAGCTTTTGTTCTTAAGCTCCACTCCATTATGGTAACTTAGCAAAGCATTATTGCACACATGAATTTAATAATTTAGAATTTTGAAATTTGAGACAAATGCAATTTGAAGAATTCAGAATTTAGAAAATTTAAAATTTCAGAAAAATTTACAAAAATTCTTGAAAACCTCAAAAGTCTCCAAAAACAAAATTCACCCAAATCCATTTCCTTTTCCAAACATCCACTCAAAATAAACTCCAAAGGAAAAGCAAAGGAATCTTCCCAATCTTCGCCAACACCGCAGGTGTTCGTTTCTCGATTAATACATATTACGAAAGAGGGGCCGTGGTTTCCGAGATTCCGGCGAGAGAAGAAACTTGACAAACGATCGAAAGTTTGACGCCCTACTTCTCGTCAGATCAGAAAGTTTAAAGCGTTGATCGGCAGTGTATTCATCCAGGTCAAAGCTTAAAAGCTCCCTTTACGCTAGAGTCAGCTAAGCTGAACTTCCTCCTTTCATCGCGCTTCTTCTCGCTTTCGCGATGATGCAATTTCCATCGTTCTTCGGGAACAGCCGCGATGTTAGTTCTTCGGCGCTGCGCTCGTCGCGTTCATGCAAATTCGCGCGAAGAAAAACAGTGCTCCGCTTACGGGAATCGTATTTCAGTTTTCACGGCGCGAAAACGTGTTGTGCTGTCTTGGAGTTGTGTAAAAAGCTGTTTCGTGTCGAACAGTTTGTTTTGTAGGAATTTGTACGGTGGTGGTTGTTGAATCTGAAATTTGGGGAAATGGGAGGTTAGATTACGTATTGGGGTGTGGGCATGTGGGGATTTGGTAATTTGGAGAATTTAAAGAATTTGGGGAATATGGAAAATTAGGAGAATTTGGGGAATTTAGAGAATTTGAGAAATTTTGGGAATTTGAGAACATTAACCTTGAAATTCCCATATCCAAAAATTCCTAGTATATCCAAAGTCTCCACATCTATGGACCCCAAAATTCCCTGAAACATAACCCTATATACCAAAAACCCTCTAAATCTAAAATCACCCAAATACTAAAGTTCCAAGACGCAAAATCTCAACGTTTAAAAATCCCAAGAGCAGGAAATCTCCAGCTCCCTCAATCTCTTCCAGCAGAAAATGCGTACACGCTTGATAATGGAAGCACTATCATAAAATGGTATTTAGCAGCACTAAATGTTGCTCTTTCAAGAACCGGTTTCTCTTTCGAGTAGCAATTATTTCACGGTCGTTAGACTTTCTGCTTAATCCCTCGGTTGTTTTCGAAAGATGACTCTCCTCGGAGATCGTCACGGCGTATCCCGTTGATCCTACCCTTCGACCGGGGTAAAACATCGACCAAATGACCGGCTCTCCGTGTTCCTTGCGATTCTTTCTTTGGGAACAAACGACTTCCGACGGAACCACTGCTCTTTGGATCGAGGATAATGCTGCAAGATGGCGGAATTTATGGGCCAACGAGGAAATAGAACTGCTATTGGAAACTCGCGGACTGAAAAGGAAAATATCAAAAATATTCGAGTAAAACATGATTCTGATTTTCTTGGATTATTATTAAAATTAAATTTTTCATATATTGTTGTTGAAATTAAAGCTCCAAAATTTGAGTACTCAGAAATTCAGAAGCTTGCAATCTTAGCAGTAACGCTCAGTTGACTTCACGTTCCTTTTATAGCTAATTTCAATGATGGAAAAAAGTATAACAATTATACTACAGTATAATATACTGTGTATAACACTGTGTATATCTTCAAAGAACGAAGAAAATATCCGTAGATAGAGTAACTTCTCGTAAAGGAAAGAAAACGGAGATAAAGTCAGAGAGAAGGGTTGTTAGTCGTGTCTCGACTGATGAACTTAATCTCACCCTTTTAACCGCTGATGTAATTACAATGACGATTCCCGATAATAGCCTGCGTCGCGTCGTCATCCTCGAATTTCGAGAAGCTCTTTTCCTCGGGCTAAAGCCGGAGATGCTCGTTTAAGCAGCCTCGTTCCTGGTAATTACCGCAATCGTGGCAACCAGATTATCGCTTGTAGCCAAGGGCATTTCGAAAACCTTTGCTGAAACCTGCGTTGACTGTTGTACTAGCTTGAATTATTCGTTTTCTTATTACTTTGTCATAAGATACTGCTTTATTCTGTGATATCGTTCTTCTGAGAGGAAGAGAATTTCAATTCACTAGAACATTAGTAAATGGTTGAATTACTATTAATTAGTAACTAGGGAATTAAACGAACACTAGTTACAGAACCTTGAATTGATCTAACCTTGGCGACAAAAGCTTAAATTGACCTAACCTTGGCGACAAAACCTTAAATTGATCTAACTTTGGCGAGAAAAGCTTAAATTGACCTAACCCTACTTATAAAACCTTAAATTGACCTAACCTTAATATCAAAAGCTTAAAGTTGACTAACCTCACTTACGAAACTTTAAATTGACCTAACTTTATTCTTAATTAAGCTTGTGAAATTAAGGTTAGGTCAACTTAAGGTTTTATAAATAGGGTTAGACCAAATTAAGGTTTTAATATTTAAGTTAGGTCAACTTAAGGTTTTGTAAATACGGTTAGTCCAAATTAAGGTTTTAATAGTTAGGTTAGGTCAACTTAAGGTTTTGTAAATAGAGTTACACCAAATTAAGGTTTTAATACTAAGGTTAGGTACACTTACTTACTTAGGTAAAAATAACTAGCTAGGAAAATAATAAACACAAGGATCAGTGTTTATAAGTAACTAGAAAATTAATAAATACTAGAACTAATATTAGTAATTAAGAAATTAATGAATACTAGAAATATCGTTTAATAACTAAAAAATTGATAAGTAAGATAATTTTAAGGGCAAATACTTATAGAAATAGAATGATTTGATTTGGTACAAATTGCACGCGATTATTATCAGGAAGTTAAATCACAGCCTATTCGCGTTTTAAAATGAGGTGCCATGAATGGCGACACGATAAATTGATTTGATCACAAAGTCTGGAATAAATTTTCCTCCTTTCGTTCCATCGCAATGGAAACGAATTCATGGACTGAACCATCTTCTGGATATAATGGGCCTTCAGATTTCTAAATACGTTTCCGATAATACTCCGACTTGTGCCTTTCATTTCAATTATATCGAATTCAACGATTCCATTCACTACATTTCTTTACATTTACATTTGCCGATAACGTCGTTTCATTTATTATATGTATATTCTCCTAAGGTTGACAGTATATCTAGGTGAAATTATGGTGACATTATTACTAAATATTTTCAAATTTTGGGGTTAATTAAATTTACAAGCTTTCAAGTTTTCATGTTTGTGGGTTTAGATGGTAATAAGTTTTTGAATTTTTAAGTTTTCTTGCTTTGAAAGCTAATACTTCTTCAAGTTTTCAAGTTTTTTTTAAGCTTTTAAATTTGGGAGGTAATAAGTTTTCAAATGTTCAAATTTTTTCACTTAGAAATTATATTGTCTTCTAGATTTATAAATTTGTGAATTTTCAAATTTTTTAATTTATAATCTTAAATTTAAAGTTATTTTTAGATATATCGGTTTATGAAAGAAGTTTTCAAATTTTGAAATTTATGAATTTATAAATTTATAAGTTTGTAAATATTTAAATTTATAAATTTACAACGCTTCAACTTCTGAAATTCATAAATAGTTTACATTTACAAATTTATGAACGTAACACATTTCAACGCGAGCACACAACTCTTCATCGGCTATAAATAGAAGTTATTTCAAAAACATTTATAACGTGTCAAGTTTTATTAAAAATATTTCCTCGGTTATAAAATATCAGCACGTTCGATCTCAAGGTAACAGGTGCAAAGGTCAGGTCTCTGAAACATGTAATATTACACAGTCGGGTCTGAGAGCGTTAATAAAAAACTATAACCTAAAAACTGATGGAAACTTTCGCACACTGCAACTATATTATTCACGTATCAGTTATATGGTTAGTTATTCTCAGTTATGACCTATTAACATATGATTTAATTATATGTTCCATTTCGTTTAGTTATGCTTTGACGAATATACTCGTCACTGGTCAGGTTAGGTTGATAATAACCTTTACAATTAATGATAATTTGATCATTTTCAAATGATTGCTAATAACCTCTGAAATTACTAGAAATTACCAATAATCTACAAAGTTAATTTTAGTAACCTTTTAAATTTGCTAACGAATGTTAATAATCTACCAAGTTAATTCTAATAACCTATAACCTTGCTAACGAATGATAATCTACAAAGTTAATTTTAGTAACCTGCAAAATGGTTCATGATTACTAATAATCTACAAAGTAAACTATAATCTATAAATTTGCTAATGAACGCTAATAATCTACAAAGTTAAATTTAATAACCTATAAACTTGCTAATGGATGCTGATATTCTACAAAGTTAATTCCAATATCCTATAAAATTGCTGATGGTTGTTGGTGAACAAAGTTGATATTATTAACCCAGCTGTTAATAATCTACAAAGTTAGTTCAAATAACCTGAAATTGCTAATGGTTGCTGGTAACCTATAAATTTGATAATAACCTGTATAATTATTGGTAATTGCACCTAACCTATAAAATTGATGCTGAGAACTACAAAATGGTGACTGCTGGTTTCCCATAAAATTGGTACTAATAATCTGCAATAAAAGTGTCAGAACTCAAGCTAACACAGTTATTATTGTTCATAATTTAACACATTGTTGACCATAATTACTATTATACTAATTGTTACAAAATTACACATTAGAATGAAAATTCTAAATTGACTGCAAAGAGTATTGCAAAGATGCACTCTGTGATGTAATCGCATAAATATCCACAATGTAGCCATAAATTTCAACGAGACAACAGTAAACGAATAGAATAGGAATATCAACAAAGATATTTACTCGCTCAGCAGCGTGTTTAACAAGAATCCCTTAACCGCGTTCCAGGTGCACCGGAGGAGAAGCTTTGGGCGATTCTGCCCAACGGTCCATCACTTCCGGAACGACCTACAACGCCTCGAACAGTGACAACCGTTGCTACAACCTATAGACCATGGAAAACACGACCCACCAGGCCGAATTACTATCCAAACGAGGACCAACCACGACACCCAGATCGTTACCCGCTGAAGCCTCACAAGCCTCACAAACACCATACGACGACCACCTCCACCACCATGAGGACCACATACCCGCAGAGGCCAAGGCATCGATGGACCCCGCCGCCCAGAAACGACGTACCGGATAAATGCGACACCAGCTATGATGCCATCAGTATCATTCGCAGAGAGGTGTTCGTCTTCAAAGGACGGGTAGGTTACTCTTTCAATTTTTGGGGCATTAATTTTTATTTCTAGAATATATTCGTTAGGGACACTCTGAAGTAGACACCTTTTGGTACTTCGGACAATTTTTATAAAGGTTCTGATTTCAAGATTTTATTATAATGGAGATATCTAAAGATGTTCGCGTAAGCTTCAAATGAAATGGCACCCTACCCCACCCTTATATTTCGCAAACGCCATTAAATATGAAAAAGTGTTTCAGACAAAAGTTGTAGGACATCAAGAAAAACATAAGATGGTGGCAACAATTTGACCTTGGATCATTTGAAGGTTGCGAACTTCAGTTTCTTAAATAGAACCCCCATCTTTTATTGCATATTCTTGTAGCCCCGAGACGTTTTCAAAACACTACCTATGTTTGTTTTTTGTGCAAGTTCCCAAAATATGAAGCTGTAAAGTTGACACATAAGTGGCGTAAATCTGATCGTGCAACCTTCGTCGTACACCTTGGGTAATGCTGACGATATGTCAACTTTGAAGCTTCATATCTTGGGATGAACACAAAAAATAAACATAGGTAGTGTTTTGAAGACGTCTCGAGGGAGAATATGCGATAAAAAATGGGGGTTCTATTTAAGAAACTGAAGTTCGAGCTTCAAACGATCCAAGGTCAAATTGCTGTCGCCATCTTGTATTCTTGATATCCTACAACTTTTGTATGAAACATTTTTCCGTATCTAAAACCGTTTCCGAAATATAAGGGTGGATTTTAGAGGCCATTTGCATACGTGAGTGATGGGTTGGAGTTTGATCAAATTAGAATTTGATCATTGATCATTTGAACAGAAACTTTTTAACGACCTTAAAATCATCAAGATCCTCTTAAACTTCTAAGTCTTAGTTAAGATTAGCTTCAGTCTAATATAGTAGCTTCAATTTTATACAGTATTATGTTACTGTCTACTGTGATTTGTTACTAATTGTTGTTCTTATCTTTCAGTACCTGTGGAGGATCGGTGAAAACGGAATGTACGAAGGATATCCAGCGGAAATAACGCGTTTGTTCAATCTACCTGAATACATTGATCACGTGGACGCGGTTTACGAAAGGCCAGACAAGAAGATAGTGTTCTTCATTGGCAAGAAATACTACGTTTTCAACGCCAATCATCTGGAACCAGGTTATCCCAAGCCGTTAACGACCCTCGGATTACCGGAATCGTTGGAGAAGGTGGATGGTGCTATGGTCTGGGGACATAATGGGAAAACTTACTTTTTCAGCGGTTCCATGTACTGGAGGTATGTAGGATGTTTCATTTAAATGGAACATTTGAATTATTCTCGTTGCTGTTAACAGAAACTGATGGAAGATTATATGGTTTCAGATTTTAATCATATAAGCTTTTAACAATTATTTTTTTGTACTTTTAATGGCAGTAAAAATAATTTGAATGTTCAACTTAAATGGAACACCCTATATTTAAGTGTATAATTTTTATTGTTCCGATTTTGGAACAATAGGGTTCCTATAATGTTTCTTATGAATTTTACAATTTATGAAATCAGGAAATTCTATAATTTATAGGTGTAGACATTTTTAATTTGAAAATATCCAAACTCACAAATTTTCAATTTGAAAACTTTAAAATGGACCACCAATCCTTTGATAGTACTAATAAAAATAAAGGACCTAGTTTCCTCAAATAGAAATCCTAATTAGTCCATGAAGAAATATAAAAGAAAGTACATTGTTTTAAAAGAATGAAATAAATGGGAACCCTATACACTTCTATACAAGTCTTCCTATCAACATTATATCATTAACAGTATCTTTATTGGTTACAGGTTTGACGAATCTGTAAACAACGTGGAACTGGATTATCCAAGAGACATAAGCATGTTCGCTGGAGTTGGAAACGATATTGACGCCGTTTTTCAATGGACAGATGGTACATATTTATTTATATATACTTCAAGGTCAAGTGCAGTGACAGGCCAAATCCAAATAGAATATTAAATCTACAAAAACATTTATTTACATAAGATAAACATTTACGTTTGTAAATATAAATTAACAGTAGTAACCTTCTGTATATTATAATGAAAGAAAATTACTATAATGATATTTATTTAGTTGCATATAAATAAATTTGAATTTTACCGCCATTTAAGATTCTGTTGTTTAGATCAATATGGCGGAGTTTCCGTTAATTGATGTTCGCTATATGGCCCTCATCTGCAATTGAACCTTAAGATTTAAACGATTAAAAATGTATGAAACGTCTTTAACATAAATCTTTTATTTTTGCAGGTAAAACGTACTTTTTCAAAGGGAAAGGTTTCTGGGAATTCGATGACCTGAGAATGAAAGTTGCCCACGAAAGACAAAAATTATCGGCGCCCGTTTGGATGGGCTGTCCACGGGAATTGGAGACCAACGACGTCGACATCTTACCACGAAAATCGAAGATCACTGCCGCGAACCGAGCATCGACACCACAAACTTTCTTCCTCGGATTATTTTTTATAGCATATTTGAACAAATATTTGTAAACTGTGATATTTATGTAAAAGCCGCGTACCAAACGCGAGCCCGCGTGTGCGCGACGCGTACACGACTCCGGTCTAAATTTCAACGCACTTCCCTTATATTGATTATACGGAATTAAAGTAATTTTAATAAAGTAATTTTTAAAAAATTTTAATAATAAACGACTTATCCCAATTCGCAAGTTTTATTCCTCTGCTCTGAACCCATGATTTTGTCTGCATGAATGAATGTCCAAATTATTATAAAGGTGTGTAGTCTGATCTTAAAAAATGTAGAAAACAGAAAGTCTGTATGATTCTATTTCTCGTATAAGATGTTACGTACATCGTGCATTTATCTCCTAAATGATTTGTAATTAAAAAGAATGCATTAAATTTTTCACCAATTTTCAAAATTTCCTAATTCCCAAATTTATAAATATTTAATTTCCATAGCTCCCAAATATTTAAGTTTTCCAATTTCCTAATTGTCACATTTCTATGTTTCTAAATCTCTAATTTAGATTCCCACATATCTGTTTTCAAATTTCTAAATTACCCATATTCAATTTCCAAATATCTAAATTTCTGAGTTCCTTAATCTCAAGGTCTAACCTCTCAAGCTTACCTAACTTTTAGGTTACATCCCCAAATTTTCAGTATTCCAAACCCTGAAACTCCTAAATTTTCAAGTATCTAAATTTGACAACTGGATCAATCAGCAATGTAAGAAGAATCTACTACACTCAATTGTAAGTATCACAAATATTTGACAAATATTTTGCAGAGCATATTTTTACTATTTGATGATATTAAAACTATATTTAAATTTATCAACATTGAATAATTTCTAGTAAAAAAGAACAGGATTCAGGAGTCTAAAATCATTGTCTTTATAAGCTTCAGTTATCATGTAACTCATATATTTAACAAAAACATGTACACTTTTTATTTCTTGGATCAACTTTAAACGATATGTTAACAGAATCTCTTTACAGTTTTTACATTCTGCTTTGGCGAGTGAATAAATAGACTCTCTTTGTTATGCTCGCTTTTCTTGCCGCAGACGTTCAAGAAACATTTTGTTTGAGCAACAAAATAACGCGACTATGGTGCATTCGGGAAAGCGTAATCGGACAAGTTAAAACTTGTTGTTGGACATGGATTTCATTATGAGCATAAATTATTTGAATTCCACCATAGCACGCGATTTCCTTTCGCTTTAATTTCCTCATCCACGAGATATTTCACATTCTATCTGTATGATAAAGCTTCGTTGAACGTTTCATCCTTCCCTCCTCATGCTAAAGGCGCAAATCCGGCGGCGAATATGGGTCCCAAGGATTAAGCGATCTCAATGTAGTTTGGACAATGGTGTCTACTTCTGCCATACCTCCCATTCCAGTATCACCACACATGAGAGTTTTAGAAATGCAAGTGACTTCCTTATATCCCCATGACTTAAGCAGAGCTACCTGTACGAAACAGCAACAGTCAAGGTTAATTACTTGATAAAACTAACGGAGTAATAAAAAACATGAACCTTTTACCTGCGGTGCAGTGACAGGATGTTCCCACATTTTCGTGTTCATAGCAGGGCAAAAAATCAAAGGCTTCGACTGATCCCAAGCACGAGCGACACAGGTCAAAATATTATCGCATATACCACTTGCTATCTTGCCCAATGTGTTAGCATCTAATGGAGCGATTAGGAACAAATCAGCCCACTTGACTAAGTCTATGTGCAATACAGGATCTCCTCGGTCCTGCCAGGCAGCCCATTCGACAGTGTCTGACAAAACTTGAATACCTGAAGGCAGTTCTGCTTCTTTCATAAAATGCTTAGCTTTTTCTGTAACTACTATTCTTACTTCCAAATTGTTTTGCCACAACTTTTGTACTAACTGTGGCAGTTTAATCGTGGCAACACTACCGGTACATCCGATTAAAACTCTCTTTCTAGAAATGCAATGCGACATTTTGAACTATTTAGGTTTTTGAACTTGGAATTTTCTTCTAACAATCTTTTTTTTATTTTCTGTTTATATTATATAAAACTGTACTATCAGTTTTCTCAACAGACGATATGGAATAGGTTTGGCCAGTGAAACAACGACAACGGGTTTGCTATTATTTTTTAGGCCATCTGACGGAAATCAAATGCCTTCAATTACTTAGATCCACAGGAAACTACAATTAACAGAGATCTAAGTTAAATGCTTAATTTGCAATCTCTATGACAGGTGTACTATTGTTGCTACCAAGTTGTTTCAAATGCTTGATTTTCTTTGAAGTCTGTCCACCACACTGGAATCACTTTAATCTGACTATATGTTGAATAAAACTCCACTATTCAATTATGTCTAGTCACCAAGCTCCAATCGTGTTAAATAATAATTCCTAAACACATATATACGTATATACTATTTCGAGATTGATCCGTGAAACCTGTTAATCTCCTTTTCAAGATAAAATGATAACCAGCTGAAATGTTCGTAAATCTACGACGTCGCGACAATCGATTAGTAATAAATCGCTGTTGTTATGTCTCCTTGACCTCGTCAGAGAAACCGAGAGAGGACCAATCTTCTCGCGCCATTAGCTCGTTATCCATTCGACAAGCAAGATAATTTTTCGCTTCCTCTCTGCACATTGTATTCTCGTTCTTATTCTCGTACAAACAACGCATATACTGGATCATAATCTTTTTGCAAGATCCCTCATGGTCGAGCGGAAAACTTCCTTTCTCGGGGGGCACAGGTGTAAATGTCTTTTTCGAAAATGTGTACGAGGACATCACTGACGTTGGCGACGTTCATGCAGGAAAGCTCAGTACATGAAAATAGATGATTAAGTTTAGGAAAAGAATAATTATACGGACCTCTCGTTGAACACACAACAAAATGCAACCGCCATTGTAGTAAAATACGAGTAACAGCGCCACACGCGATTATGTCTGCAACTTCTTTTTACGCAGACTGCGTGTCACGTGATACGCAAGTGAGTAATTTTAAATGAGATTGATCGTTCTGAACTATGAATGAAAATGTAAGGCATCGATTTTATGTAAATTTAAGTAGCAGGTAATGTACGAATATTCTTTACTTGAGCTAGAGAGTTATATTCTGGTTGAAGAAATAATTTTATATTTGTAACATGAAACAGGTGGCAATACGATTTTAGGGTTATATTTTGTAATTAATTTGGAACTATTAATTTTTGTTAAACTTCAGAATATTTTAATTTAAGTTTTCTGTCTTTAAAATATTATTTGAAGTTTTTATTAGAAATTTGAAATTTTAGATATTTTATACTTTTGGGATTTAGGAATTTTAGAAGTATAGAGTTGGGCATTTTGGAAAGTCTGATTTGAAATATTATAATACATTACATATTTATACACCTATATGTACGTAAACATTATTGATTTGATTCGTTAAAAGAAATATATATATGAACAGAAATATTATACAACAATGTGATTAATAATTTTATAAATAGTATTATAAAATATTATATATTATAAATTAATAAATTAATGTAATATTATATGTTATTAATAGTAGAATAGTTAAGTTAAATAGTATTTTGATTGTTTTTTACATATTTTTAAAGAAGTATGTTTATGGGTATGTATTCTAAAAATAGTACAGATAGCACCATCTTGTCTTAAAACAAGCAACTATACAAATAAAAAAGTTGTATTTTTTTAAAAATAATATAGGAGAATTATTATTATCTTTTTATTTAAAAGAACTTATTTATAAAAAACTGGGTCGATATTGGAACATGACAATTTTCCGAAATTTTACATACTAACAGTTACCGACGCATTCGATTTTGCACTGAAATTGCATCTGTAGGTAAAAAAGAATTTTAGAACTACCATATCAATTGATTTCAATTCACACAATAATGAACATTTAAAAAATAAAAAAAATATATAATTTATAATTATCTTTTAATATATAAAAATGTGATAAAACAAAATTTTATAAACAAAACACGCATAAAAATTAATAAAAATAATAAATTTTAATAGTAACAATAATAATTTGTTAAATAAACAAAAGAAAAACTAAAAATTTAAATAAGAAATGTCGAAATTACAAATATAGGTATGGATGACGTCATCGCACGGTATTGGTGGATTACATGACAGCTGATTGGTCCATGGATCACCTATCATTGATAACTTGACAAGTCATAGGTGTTCAGTGTTCAAGGTGCCTAGTATTGGTGTATTGACATGACACCTGATTGGTTTACGGTTCGCCTATTATTCTCACCTTGATAAATGTCGCTCGTGCTCAGTCTTGTTCAAGCTGTCAGAGTGTTCGAATCGACCGTGACATTTCGTATCGGTACGAGTCAAAGTGTTTATTAACCGATTGTGTATTCATCCCAGTGTTACCTAATGTTTTAGTGCAAGTGTTTAGTGTGTTTTATCAAGTTTTTTAGTGCACATACGGGGGTGTATTAATTTGTTTTATGGTGTGGTTCCTTATGTACCTATGTGATTAATAGTGTGTTTTAATTTGTGATTGCGCATGTGTATACGGATACATTAGTGTGTTTTATGGTGCTATTATTTAACTGTTTTAACGCTTTTTTGGTGATTTAGTGTATTTTGTGGAGTGGTTATTTAAGCGTTTTGGCATACATTTACTAGTTTTTTAGTGTACTTCATGTAACGGTTATTTAAGTGTTTTGGCATATATTTATTAGTGTTTTAGTGTGTTTTATGGAATGGTTATTTAAGTGTTTTGGCATACATTTACTAGTGTTTTAGTGTGTTTTATGGAATGGTTATTTAAGTATTTTGGTAAACTGTCACTAGTGTTTTAGTGTACTTTATGGAACGGTTATTTAAATGTTTTGACAAACTGTTACTGGTGTTTTAGTGTATTTTATGTAACGGTTATTTAAGTATTTTGGAATATATTTATTAGTGTTTTAGTGTACTTTATGGAACGGTTATTTAAGTGTTTTAACAAACTGTTACTGGTGTTTTAGTGTACTTCATGTAGTGGTTATTTAAGTGTTTTGACTAACTGTCACTAGTGTTTTACCGTGCTTTATGTAACTGTTATTTAAGTGTTTTGGCATGCATTTACTAGTGTTATAGTATACTTTTTGTAACAGTTATTTAAGTGTTTTGACAAACTGTTACTGATGTTTTAATGTATTTTACAATGTAATTACCTATGTGTTTCGTTATATTTTTGCAAACGTTCTACCATATTCTACAAAATAATTACTCAAGCTTTGACATACAATTTCAAATATTTTACAATATTTCACGTTGTGACATAAGCGTTTGCAAATTTATAACTGACTCCTGCATGCCTCTATGTATTTGTACACCTCAAAACCAAAAACTTATTACATGTTTGCACAAGTAGAAGTTAGAAAACATTTATGTTATCAAAATGCAAATGGATAAACACAGTTAATTAATCGTTGTGATTCTTTTATGATTACAGAAGGTCCACTGCCAAACTCCCACATTCTAATCTGACGAAAGAAGTCAAACAACCAAGGAGCCAAGCAGCCAATCAATCAAGCAGCCAACCAATCAATCTCTAAGATGCAATGCCTCCCAGATGTGCTGTCACAGATGCCTACCGATAAAACGATCGCAGTGGCGCAAGTCAGCGATCGGTGAGTCGCATGCTTTACG